ACATGCCTTTAATCTCAGACCTCTGGAGGCAGATGCAGGTGAGTTCAAGGCCAGCTTGGCCAACACAGTAAATTTCAGGTTAGCTAGGGTTATATAGTGAGACTCTTAGTAAATAAATGAACAAAAGTTATTTTGGGAAAAAATGTTTTTTCCCCTTGGTTTTTTGAGACAGGGTCTCTCTGACAGCCCTGGCTGTCCTGGAACTTGCTTTATAGATCAGGCTGGCCTTGAGCTCAGAGATCTGCCTGCCAAGTGCTAACATTAAAGTGGTTAATTTTTATTTTTAAAAAACATAAAAACTTTTCATGTGTCTATGTGAATATATGTTATATGTGCATATGTGCACAATGAGGCTAATGGATTTTTGGAGCTGGTGTTGAGCTGCTGGAGTGTGGTTACTGGGAACTAAACAAGTCATTAGGAATGGCAGTGAGTACTCCTAACTGATGAGCCATCTTGGTTGTTTTTTTTGGGGGGGGGGCGCCGAGACAGGGTTTCTCTATGGTTTTGGAGGCTGTCTTGGACTAGCTCTGGTAGACCAGGCTGGTCTCGAACTCATAGAGATCCACCTGCCTTTTGCCTCCCAAGTGCTGGGATTAAAGGCATGCACCGCCACCAATGCCTGGCCTTGTTTTTACTTTTTGGATGATTCTGCCATGTAATTCAGGCTATGATCCTCAAACTAACAATCCTCTTGCTACTACATTCTGATTGCCAGAATTACAGCCATGTGTCAATATTTCTGGTTCACAGGTTTCTTGGTCTCATATGTATATAGACCAGAATGACCTCAAACTTGATATGTAGCCAAGGATAACCTTGAATTTCTCATCATTCTGCCTTCAATTTTCTTTTCTTTTTTTTTAAAGATTTTATTTATTTATTATGTATACAACATTCTGCTTCCATGTATATCTGCACACCAGAAGAGGGCACCAGATTTCATAACTGATGGTTGTGAGTCCCCATGTGGTTGCTGGGAATTGAACTCAGGACCTCTGGAAGAGCAGTCAGTGCTCTTAACCTCTGAGCCATCTCTCCAGCCCCCATGCCTTCATTTTTCAAACACTAGGATTACAGGCATGTGCCACCAAGCCTGGCTGTATTGTTAATTTTATTCTTTTGGGAAAAGGCCTTGCTTCTGTAGATCAGGCTAGCCTGAAACTCACTGTGTAGACCACAGTGTACTTGAACTCACAACAGTCTTCTTGTCCTAGCCTCCTGATCCCTGGGATTACAGTATGAGCCACCATGCCTGGCTCAGTCCTACTCTTTTTTACCTTTTATTTCATTTGGTTTTTGAGACAGGGTCTCATGTAGCCCAGACTGGCTTCAAACTTACTACGTAGCGGATAACCTTGAAATCCTGACTGTCCTGACTTACCTTCCAAGTGCTGAGATTTCAGACCTACACCACTGTGTTTGGTTTTAGTGCCTTTTTAATAATTTTCCACACTTCCAAAACATATATACATTACCTGTTAAAATAATTTTCTTGCTCCAGTTGGAGCAAGAAACTTGGCTCAGTTTCCTCAGTTTTCATAATTGAATCTAAATGCATACACAGTTCTAAGGCATTTGAAGTGTCATGTTAGTGTAGTAATGTGTCAGTTTTGTGATATTTAACACCTACTGTCAAGCTGACTGTACCAGTTCATACTTGTTATAACAACAGTATCTAAAGGATGTCCATTCACTTCTGCCTTGCTATATTGCTTTGTTATTGTTTTTTTTTTTCTTCCAAGATAGGGTCTTTTTGGGTAGGCTGGCCTTAGAGATCCGCCTGCCTCTGCCTCCTGAGTGCTGGGAGTAAAGGTGTGCACCACCACTGCTCGGCTCGATATTTTGCTTTTCATTAAATTTTATCTTCCCTGTGTGTGGGGTGTGTGCCCATGCTTTGGCATCAGAGAACAGCTTTGGGCGTTGGTTCTTTTCCTCTATCCTGTGGTCCTGGGGATTATACTTGTGTTGTCAGGCTCCACTCCAAGGGTCTTTACTCACTGGGCCATCTCTCCAGCCTGCTATAATATTTAAAATAATTTTTTTAGACTTATGTAGATGAATGTTTTGCCTTGGTGTATGTATGTGTACCATGGGTGTGCCTGGTACCCAGGGAGGCCAGAAGGAATCAGATCCCTGGAACTGGAATTACAGATGGTTGTGAGCTGCCATGTGGATGGATGCTGGGAACCAAACTGGGTTCTCTAGAAGAGCAGCTAATATTCTTAACTCCTGAGCCAACTCTCCAGCCCTTACCACAAAAATTTAAGATTACTTACGGATAATATATATGAAGGGTAAGATTTTTTCTGCATATTTATTATGTAATAAGGCATTTTACTAGATTTTGTTAGCTTTTAAAGTGTGTCCCCTACTCCCCCCATGCTGAAGATGGGATACAAGGACTCAGGGCAAATGCTCTATCAATGAGCTTCACCCATAGTCCCAGCTGGTTTCCTTTTAAGAAGGTGTGTTATTTACATGTATGGGTATGTCTGTGTGAGCTTATGTGCACCACATAAAGTCTGGAACTGGAGTTACAGGTGACTGGAAGCCACTTTTATATTACAATCTTTGCTGTTTTATAGCTACTATCCCTTAACTTTTTCTTTTTTCCTTTCTTTCTTTCTTTCTTTCTTTCTTTCTTTCTTTCTTTTTTTTTCCCGAGACAGGGTTTCTTTGTGGCTCTGGAGGCTGTCCTGGAGCTAGCTCTTCCAGACCAGGCTGGTCTCCAACTCACAGAGATCTGCCTGCCTCTGCCTCCCAAGTGCTGGGATTAAAGGCATGAGCCACCAATGCCCAGCTATTTTTTTCTAACTTCAGACACGGCTTAAGGTAGTTTTTCAAATAGTATTTTTTTAAAAGATTTATTTATTTATTTATTTATTTATTTATTTATTTATCATGTATACATGGGCCACCATGTGGTTGCTGGGAATTGAACTTAGGACCTCTGGAAGAACAGTCAGTGCTCTTAACCTAACCCCTGAGCCATCTCTCCAGGCCTCAAATAGTATTTTTAAAGTTGACTGCTTTCTAGTTCTCAGATCTCTCTTTGGCTGTGCTATTTTCAGCTTCCACAGGAATTGAAGTTTCTTTTAGGGTTCCTAAGGAAAGGCTTGTGTGGGAAATCGCAGAAGCAAGGACAGCTATATGTCTAGTTCTTCCACATGGTTTCCAAGATTTTAGCTGATGCCAGATCTCAGAGCTCACACAGGTGTGGGGACTCTTTTACCATACAGAAGCAAAGAAACCTTTCATTGCATCAACTCCTCTAGGGAAACTCAAAACTTCAAAGATAAACATAGTTCATACAATAATTCCCTGGTTTTTCTTCACATTTGGAAAGTAAGCCATCAAAACCATCCAGGAAAAAGAACAGGTGCTATGCTCTGGATTGCTTAGTAGTTAAGAATACTAGCTAGTCAGGACTGGAGAGATTGCTCAGTGGTTAAGAACACTAGCTGGTCTTCCAGAGGTCCTGGGTTCAATTCCCAGCAACCACTTGAGGCTAGCAACCATAAGTAATGAGATCTGGTGCCTCTTCTGGCCTGCAGGGATTCATGCAGACAGAACACTGTATACATAATAAGTAAATAAATCTTTAGCCAGGTGGTGTTGGCACACGCCTTTAATCCCAGCACTTGGGAGGCAGAGGCAGGCAGATCTCTGTGAGTTCAAGACCAGTCTGATCTACAAGAGCGAGTGCCAGGACAGCCTCCAAAGCCACAGAGAAACCCTGTCTCTCAAAAAGCCAAAAAAACCAAAACAAACAAACAAACAAAAAAACCCCAAAAAACTAGCTAGTCTTGTAGAGGCCCTAGGTTCAGTTCCCAGCACTGACACGGTAGCTCACAACTATCTGGAACTGCAGTTCCAGGAGACCCAGGACCCTCTTCTGACTTCCTCAGGTACCAGGTACACATGTGGTGTACAGCCACACATTGAGGTAAAACAGTCATACACACAGAATTAAACAAAAGGAGAAGGTTGGGTGGTGGTGCATACCTTTAATCCCAGCACTTGAGAAGCAGAGACGGGGATCTCTGAGTTTAAAGATAGCCTGGTCTACAGAGCAATTTCTAGGACAGGCTCCAAAGCTACAGAGAAACCCTGTCTCAAAAAACAAAACAAAACAAAACAAACAAACAAAAAAAAAAAGGAGAAATCTACCTTTGTACGGTTATACATACATGTGGTTGCACACACATTTAATGTTAGCACTCAAGAAGCAGAGACCTGACTGGTCTACAAAGCAAGATCCAGGCCAGCTTGAGTTACACAGTGAGACCCTTTTGACCCTACCTCAGGGGAAAAGCAAAGAAGCAAGAACACTAAAGATTTGTGGCCCAGTGGGATGTTTACAGGTTTACAGCCCCTCCCATGCAGGTGCTAGTCAATCCATTCTAGGACAAGTCCTGACCTGACCTTGAAACAAACCAGCTGTTGAGCAAGGCTACATTATTTAAGACATTCTTGCTTGCTTGCTTTCTCGTGTGTGTGTGTGTGTGTGTGTGTGTGTGTGTGTGTGTGTGTGTGTGTGGTGTGTGTGTGTAAAAGACAGAGTTTTAGGTATCCTACAATGCCCTGAAACTTGGTGTGTAGTAGCCCAAGGAGGACCACAGACTGCTGAGGAACCAGGAACTCTACTCCTAGAGGTAGACCAAAAGAACCAAAATCTGTGTTTCATCAAAGTGTAAACAGGGCCCCAGACCTTTCAGACCTTTGCACAACTGACTCCATGATGGAATTACCATTTGGGCTCTAAGACACAGCATGTGGACAGTACTGCCTGACAACACTAAAACAAAGGCCTAATCCTTCAAAGTCCATAGTTCTGGGAAAGTCTCTAAAAGCACTAACCTTTTTAGCTTCTGTAGTACTGCTTCAGGCTACTGTTTTTGTTAACTGAAGTATGGCAACCCAGGACATGGTTTTTGTGCTTAGAGCTCACCCTAAAGCTTGAAAACCCAGTGTAGTCACAGACCAGCTAATAAAGACTTTCTATTGGCTTAAACCATGTCTAAGCAGTCTTCTCTGGTGAATACCCCACAACCAATGAGATTTCTGCACTCTCATGTTCATAGCTACATTATTCATAATAACCAAAAGAGGCCAGTGGCCACCGACAAATGCCTATACATATGTAATATGCACATAAAATGTAAAATTTATATTTAACAGGAGGAAATTCTGACATGTTATGACATAGATGAACATTGAGGACATTATGCTAAGGGAAACAAGCTATTTGCAAAGATACCTATTACATGATTCCAATTATGTAGGATTCTTATAGCGATGAAATTCAAAGAAAGAAGAGTAGTTGATGGGCTATGTTTAGGACAATGGAGAGCTGTTTAATAGGTATAAATGGGTTTGGATATGTAATAGAATACATTAAACAACAACAAAAAGCATACACTTAAAACTGGTTAAATGACACAGTTTATGTCTATTTTATCACAGTTGAAACAAACTGAAAGAAAGCAGTTATACTTAGGTCTATAGGTTGTGTGATGCCTAATTTCCTTGTAAGCTTGATTTTACCAGAACTGACTAAAACCCAAGCAGCTCAGCATGCTTGGGAAGGGTTTTCTTGATTGGATCATTTGAGGCGAGACAATGTACTCTAAATACGAGCCACATCTTTGAGGGTAGCTCACAGAAAAAGACATGGAAGAAGGGAGTGTCTGCTATTTGCCCGCTTGCCCTCACTCTTATTGACAAGTTCATCTATCCCTCTGCTAAGGCATTCTTTTATTGGTACTAGAACCAGTTTCTTCAGGATTCCAATTTAGTGTGGACTAAATATCACCAGATTCTTGGCTTTTCTGCCAAAAGACAGCCATTGTGGGATTAGCCACCACAGCCTATAAAGCATTCTAATATATGCCGTTCATATACAGACATATTTCATTCTTTCAGTTCTGTTCCTTTAGAGAATCCTGACTGATACAGTTTACAAGTGAGAGAACCCCAATTTGAAGCAGCTTAGGCAAAGGACGAGGACTTCCAGGTTCACCGGCTCATGGAATCTGAGGAAAGGTTGGACAAACCACAGAGGGGATACAGAGCTTCAGCCACAACTGCAACCAGGAGCTCGGGAGTTTCCATGACTCGCACTCAGTTTCTCACCTCTGCTGCCTTTGGCACGTCGGCTTCCTTTTCATAGACCAGCTGGTTCCGTATGGCAGGACACATGGCTGCTGTCAGCTCCTGTGTTTTACATTTTATGGCTTCCACACTGAAGAGGGATTTTCTCTCAATTTCAGTTCAAAAAATTCTGGGTAAGGACTTTGACTGGCCCATCTTGGCCCAGGACCAGTGTGGCAAAGGGTGTAAGGTCATTTAGGAAATACTATGTAATAGAATTATTTATGGAAACATGAAAAAGAAACAGAATGAGATCTATAACACAATATCAATCATGTACATTTAAATACATACATAAAACATTATATATTATGCAAAGATACATGTATATTTAAGGACATATATCAAGCACACTAAAGCCACTAAAGAAGGAGTGATGATGGATGACTGGGAACTGAAATGAGCAAAAAAATGAGAAAGGCTTTGTTAATGACAGTGTGAACAAAATAGTATGATTACCTCAATTCTCTGCTTCTGATGGAAAACAGCAGTGAAAGAGGGAACGATGGAGGTGAAAACAAAACCAAACTTGTGAGTAGGCCTGAAAGGTAGTTTTCAGAAAAAAAAGGGAGAGAGAGCTGGAGAGATAGCTCAGCTGGTAAAGGCACTTGCTGCCAAGTCTGACAACCTGGGATTCACAGGTAGAGGGAGAGAACACACTCCTGCAGGTTATCCTCTGACTTCCACATGTGAGCTCACACACAATAAATAATGCAATTAAAGTTTGCTGAGATGGGGTCTCTCTATGTAGCCCTGGCTACCTCGAAACTCATTATATAGCCTAGGCTAGTCTGGAACTCACAGAGATCTGCCTGTCTCTGCATTCCAAGTGCTGGGAGTGAAGATGTGCACAGCCATACCCGGCTCCTCCCTCCCTCCCTCCCTTCCCTTCTTTCTTTGTCTCTCTCTTCCGTGTGTGTGTGTGTGTGTGTGTGTGTGTGTGTGTGTGTGTGTGTGTGTCTGTCAGGGCCACACACAGAAGGAGGGCATGGGGGGGGCG